GGCCAAAGGGAATTCGTATCCACTCATATAACCCCCATGGAGTTATGAAGGCGGTCAGGGGTCTACTCTCCTTTGCCATAAACCCTTGATGATATGCTTTGCCCTGATCTAATAGTGAAAACCACGAATTCCCGCCTAGGTTGTCGAGGATATCTTGTACTCTGGGAATTGGCTGACGATCAGGATGGGTCTTCTTATTCAGCTCCCTGTAATCCACACAATGGCGTAGGCTTCCATCCTTTTACTGACGCAGACTACAGGTGATGCATAAGATGATGTTGACTTAGATATCCAGCCCTCAGCAATCAGGTCATGAAGGTAATCTTTTACTTCCCTATACAGCGGCTTCGGCACGGAGATGTACGAGCGTGCAACAGGAATCGTGTCTTGTAGAGATATTTTCAATGTTAGATTTTCTATGCACCCAATATCATCATCTGATTTGGAGAATGACAGACATTCCTCTCGTAACATTTTGTGTGCTATTTCTTTTTCAGGCTGACTCAGATGACTCAAATCCACCGGGGGGTCCCAAACATCACTGGTAGACTCAACGCTGCTCGTTTGGATGGAAGTCACTGATGTACGTATGGGCTGGCTTGACTGATCAAATGACGTGGGCGGATAAATAGCTTGTACCCCATGTGCTGTTCCAATGACTGTTTTACTAAACAGGACAATGTCATGATCCGTTGGGTTCCGAGCGTCAACCACGATGTATGGTGGGGCACCCCCCTTCACTTGCACAAGTGTCTCCTGGAACTCAAGCCCTTCTGCCCATTTTGGATCAACATCAGGTTCAAACATCAAAGTGGTGTCCTCCTTCAGTGGGTCCATCTTTATTCGGCACTCAACCTGCAGAGAGGTACGCTTGGGAATTAACACCTTTTCTCTAGGAGTCCTCACCACATATTCCTGTGACTTTTCTGCCCTTACAAGTTCTATAAAAGCTTTAATGTGGCTTGTCTCTAATCTCGGGAATGTCATTTTCACTATTCTCTTTAACGGTTCACTGCATATTTGATCTGTGCTTTCCCCCGAGTGGTTAGTCACTATGAGCTCAATAGCGTTGTAACCAATAATAGGATGGGAGAGGTGTTTTCCCTCTGTTACTAGAATGGGAATGATGGAATCTCTGCTATCACTGTCTTCTCCTGGCAAACGAAATGTGACTTCTATCCATCCAACATAAGGGATACCCTGTCCGTTGGCCGCAACTATCTGAAGCGTGTCAGATGCATCAATTATCTCGGAGACAAGCCTCAGCTTCACATCAGGTAATACCTTATTTTTCCACCACTCATCAATGATACAAACTTGAGAACCTGTGTCCCACAACGCTGTTGTTTTTACTCCATGGATATAACAGTCAATGAGACACTGTTTTCCCACTAAAGTGGCCACACTCAATGTTTTGTTTGAATTTGTTCTCGTTTTCACCCTTAATTCTTGCACCTCTTGGTGTTCATTTTGCTTACAATTTTTCTTATGTTCACTCCAGTGATGAGCCTGACATAACTTAGAGCAGTAAAGAGACTTATGGCATGATGTACACTGTCTCAAAGAATGGGAATCCCCCTTCACGCCACAACACGAGCACTGTTGGTGGGACATTAACACCTGGCAGGTCACCTCCTGTCCCATGGAAGTAACCCTCCCTCGTTTAAACGATCATCTCTGGGTGAGTTTGTTGTTCTTGCTCTGCAACCTGCAATGAAATGCTCACTGCTTCCACATCTGTAACAGTGTGTGCAATAAGTATCAATTTCACTCTGTTGGCAGTTTAAACATCTCCTAGGATGACCCCTTGACTGCATGAAATGACGTTGAGGAGCAAATCCTTGTTGAAACTGAGTGGTCCTTCCTCTCTGTCCTGGGCTGTATTTTGGCCAATACGGAGGAGATGAATACTTAAACTGATTAGCCGGTATGTCGTCTTGTAAACCAGGTGAAGACAAATTCTGTGCAGCACTGGCTTGAGGCAGTTGAATCGACTCTCTGATTTGTGACACTTCAGCACTAAGGTTCTTTAATAGCGCCATGTCTGATTTGATTTCTCGGAGTTCATTCAGCAAATCCGGACTGTGTTTACTCTGCTTTTCCTGAAGTAACATTTTCCCTTTCTTCTCTGCAGGTGCTGGAACATCAGTGTATTCAACGGAGTGCACCATCGGCCGATGTTGAACTGCAGTTTTCTTTTTACTTTGTCTCTCTGCCTCGGTCATGCATGCAATATTCAATTTCTCTAACAACAGTTCATCACTCACTTCTGTTTGTTGCAGGTATGGCTTGAGGTCACCCCTGATGTAATCGTTTTGCAGACCTGTAAGAACTGTATGGAGAAACATATTTTGCACCAGAATAGGGTCGTACTTGAGGCTAGACTCAGCTTCCTGTGATGCGAAAAGAATTTTCTGCCTCAAATCTAATGCACGAATGAGAAAGTTCTGAGGGGTTTCTTTGCTGTCTTGGGCCTCTGACATGAGTTGTTTGTACAGTTCGGTTGCGCCCTTCTCCTGGTAATGCGAGCGAAGGATTCTTCTCAAGGTAGGTAATGTTAAATTGCCTTTGCCCTCTAAGTAACTGCGTAGTTGCATGCCAGGCGCGATTGCTTTGATCACTGCATGTACTATTTCGTGTTCAGGGACGTTTTTCTTTATTCCATTTTCAATCTGATGAGCCAGGCTAGAGAAACTAAGTTTATCTTTTTGTCCTGGTTCTCCAATTTGGCCTGCTATTTTAAACTCTCTTTGCCACACAAATGGTTGGGTGAGATCTCTTATTGGATTACTGTTTTGGTTTGTTTGATTCACTGTCTTTACTTCATGTTTTGTTTCACCTTGTGTTTGCTGTAGTGATAATTGTAAAGCTAACTGCAGTGCTTCAATCTGTTTTTGCAGCATTTCCTGTTCTGACACCTGAGCTACTTGTTGCGGCTCTACAGAATTATGAATTGCAGGCTGTCTTGGTAGTTGAATTTCAACAATTTTGTCTTTCAGGTTAAGGAGGAGAGACATACCTCCGTCCTCAAGTTCCTCTACCTCATCTCTTTCTATATACTTCACAATGTGTGCAATTAGAAATGAACGACTTTTCCCCAATACATTCTCATGTTCAGTACCAACAATATGTAGAAAGTCACACACTGCAATCAACTGATCACTACCCAGAGTGTAAAGTGTCCCAACTACTTCAAGTTTCAAGTCCTCTAGCGTGTCCATGTTGGTTGTGAATAAATGGTCAGTGTCAGTGTAAAACAGAATGTCTACTTGAGCAGGAAGAACTTGCAGCTTTTCCTGGCTAGCGTAAGGAACCTCAGATTAACCGCACTTCTGCCCGTCCAGTCGTGAGACTATACTGCACACCGCCGACCTTTTATCATGATGGTTGTGGTTGCAAGGTGGAATGTTGTTGTCATCTGGCACTACATCGATCGGCAGGACCATGGACCATCCATCCTCGCTGGGGCCTCCAAAATGTTGCACCCCTGGAAAAGGGGAAAATAGACATAAATAAATGAGACGACACGAACTCCTGGTTGTCTGTGCATCAAGCTGTATTGGCTGTGTGAACTATTTTCTTTCTTTTCCAACACAATATATAACAGAGAATTGAATGTATACATCAATACATTAGTTCACATTAATACGCAGACGAGATCAGCAATGCATAACAATGTATCACAACAGTCACCATAACCGTAATTTAAATACATTTCTATAACTTCATTTTTATAACTGTGTATTTAAATGAGCACTAAACCAGCATTTTTAACATTCAGTCTTTTATCAACTTTTCTACAACTTCTTTGACACTAAAATAAAATGAAACACTATTTCAGCAGTCACTTATCATTAGACAGATTAACCATGAAATACAGAAAAACAACATGGACTATGTTCCACATAACATTTGCTCCTAACCATTTCAGTTAATAAATTGTATATTTTTACTTTACAGTTAGGCAAGGACATAAGATGCGTTCAGTTTAACCCACAGTTTCCTCGTGGTTAGCATGTCAAACACGATAATTAAACCTCAAACCTCACATTTCCACATATGTTCAGGAGAAATAACCAGCCTTATAAACACTGTAGTTTTTAACTCACAACAAAAATGAATTAAATAAATAGTCAATACCTGGAAAAGGGGAAAATAGACATAAATAAATGAGACGACACGAACTCCTGGTTGTCTGTGCATCAAGCTGTATTGGCTGTGACGCAAAACATCGTTTGTGTCCGCTACTGCCTGCAGCCTTTGGTTTCCCCCTAGTGGGCATTTCCTGACTTACACTTCATTTCTTTTTTCCTTTTACCAACAAAACAATAATACATTCACATACCATATTATTTAGTATTGCATTAATCATATTGATTTTGTTTAATCACACTACACTACAATTGCAGTATCTATTTAAAGATGGATATGAACTCTGCAGTGAATGCAAAGGAATTCTCTTCATTTCTGAGAGCTTCTGGCTGATCAACAGGGATAGGTCAACAAATTGCCTAGAACAAACATAATGAAGACAAACCAAGGGTGCCCTAAAATGTCAATTTTGAATTTATTAGCATGATTTGTGGAAAGCGGTTGTAATGATTCATTTGAATGGCCTTGATTAAACAAGGGCCCCTGAAATCACCATATATATTTATGTTGCCTTGCTCTGCAATACTTATCCTTTCGACAGAAGTAGCCAAGACTCTCTCTGGATTCTGATGAGTCCTGCCATTGCTGCCAAAAGAAGTACTGGATTGCAAAAATTGGTTTTCACCGATTTCGACATCTAACTAGTTTCATAATTGAAAGGTTCTCTATTCATACAAAATAAAATGATTGTAATTATAATTATTGCATCACAAATTGTCATCCTGTGCGTTCCCTTCTGTCAAACACCCAAAATTAATGATATACAGTTTGAGAGTAAAGAGTAATTCATTTTTAGCATATAGAGACAGTACACATTTTTTACTAAACAGACGTTTTCAGGCTTTTTTTATCATAATTTATATTTGATATTATCACATCAAACAGTGTTGCATTAATAGTTCTCATAATGATAAAAAAATATCCATTGATCAGCCAAAAACAACAAACGAAAATATTCTAAACAATGAAAATATTATAGAAAACAAACATCACAAATGTTTATGCTGGTGCTCTAAAATAGTGGAGTATATTACACTTCCCTCTGTTGTGAATGTACAGCTTGAAGAAGGATCAGTGTCTCCTGGACTGCGTATCTGTAAATTGGCATAAAGTTCAGATGGATCCTGGTGGGGCTTGAAGTCCACCATAGAGTAGAGGATGCTGTTCTGCTCCTGTGGAGAGATGTTAGTTGAGCAGACGAGGTTTGATTCTAGAAATCATCCATTCATCTCTAAATATCAAGCTGTTCCCTTTTACAGATGATGAAGATGATTACAGTTCAGCATACTGAGATATTATGAATAAGGAATGAAAAGATTAAGCAGTATGCGAGTTGTGGTCGAACTCATCGGTCAACAAATGCCAATTTTATCCCATAATAAACCTTATTTGTATGACTGATGAATGTATTATGGAAGTGGGAGATATATAAAAATAAATAATCTGTAATTTACACCTAAATATCTTACATCTGTCTGGGACTAAATAAAAGTCATCCGTCAATTGAAAATGTATGTACTCCTTACCATTGTGGTGTTAGCAGAACCACAAGTTCCACTTATTTCTGTGGGAGAAAAAAAAAGTGATGTTCAACCCAAAAGATTGATTACCTTAGATAATTAAACATAATCATCGTCCATTGCACCTACCTGTGTTTTTTTTCTTCATGGTCTTTAGACGATAGACAAGCAGAGTCAATGAGACGACAGCAAACACCAGAGCACTTAAAACAGCAGCTAGCGTGTAGGATGCTCTCCAGCCGTCACTGCTTAATGTTGTGTTGTGTTACACAGATTAATGACTATTACTTTACTCGTTTCATTGTAAGGGGATAATATTTGTGACAACATTTACCTGAGTTTCTCTGCGTCGTTCTCAGAAACAATGGGTGTGGAGGGAGAAGAGGGCCAGACGGCTGGCTTGATGGAGGATTTTGGCAAGAGAGGAGCTGTGTTTACTCCACTGTAATCTTTTAAGCCTATTTGTGGAAAATACAAATATTTGTACATTTTTATATTACAATTTATAAAAATAAAAAAAAGTGAACTATTAACTAATATTTAAATACAACTTCCAAATGAGTATGACCAACACATAGCCCATAAAAGACTGATCATTTGATTACAAAAATAATTATCAACCCTTAATCAATGTATGCAAAATAAAAACCATTAAATTATAAAAAGAAAATCTTACCAGAAACTGTAACTTCAGCACTTTCATAGGTGTCAGGGTACCGTCTGAAACCACAGCTGTAGATGCCAGCATCCATTACACTCAGGTTTGTAATCACTACTTCAAATTCTCCATAGTAATTATTGATGAATATTCTTCCTTGATACAGGGGAGCAACTTGTCCTCTATTGTTCACAAAGGGGAAGCACCCCGACTGATCAAATTTACAGCAAGTTTTTTCAAGACTATTATAATTCGGGTTAAAGGAATATTTTAAAATAATTTGCCCTAATGAATAAATCACATGGAGTCCTTCGGCTGGATTCATTCCTGAAAAACATTTTCTGAAGATTAAAGTTCTCTCATTTTAAAATTGAGTTTATATGCATAATCCCATTTCTTATTGCTGCTTGAAATATTGTATTTTATTCTTGAAATGATACAAATAGATTTAAGTTATAATAATAGAATTTCATAAAAATCAATCCGTAAATGTTTTTAAATTGACCTAAATAGATTTTTTTTTAAATCTGCTATCAAATTTAAATAGGGAATTACAATCGATGCTTTTGCTCTGTAATCTTTTAAAAAGAGCAGAAAAAAACCAAGACCCATTCTCACCGTTCTTCAAGAGCACAAGAAAAAAGAAAATCAGCTTCATTTTCCTCTCGAATAGTTCAAATGTTCTCTAGAAAGCTGGACTGACTTCGGCGAGCTCTATGTAGTTCTTTTGTCAAATTGAGGAACAAACTATCTAAATATAAGACCATGACGAACAACTGACAGAAAAAGGAAGTGTGGCCTTGTTTCTCTGTTAAAATTATGTTCTTCAAATGTGTTAATCAAGCCTGTTATCAAGTAATGAAAACCAGATATTTCTTTACAACCACTAACAGTACAAATCAAAGTTATTTTATGATGTGTTCAAAAACATGCCACAGATGGCGAAAGATAGTATTGAAATCATAATGTTCACATTATGATTTCAATACTATCTTTCGCCATCTGTGGCATGTTTTTGAACACATCATAAAATAACTTTGATCCTCTCTAAGTAGCATATGAGAAACCATAATGCTTAAACCTTACATGTTATATTAACAACCATATCTTCTGCACAAAATTATATCCAATTTTATATAATCTAAGTCAATATATTTTGTTGTATCCACCATTGTTATATGTCAATAGAATAAAATAAGTGTAATTAATCTCATGATTTCCAACCCGCATTTCGACTGAAACGGTTCTGTCAAATGTCTTATTTATACTTTTAATTCTCACTATCTATATCTATCTGAACTTTTTGCAGAACCCCTTGCAACCCCGTTGAGGGGGCCTGCATGGACCCCATTTTGATTTACATCACCTCTGGTCTCCAAGTGTTGCTTTCATCCCTCGATCATCTTTCTTCCATTTGAGAACATTCTAGAATTTAATATTCTGTTGACTGAACATTCAAATGAACACAACTTTATTGGGAAAATGGTTAAAGGTCATACAAGTTTGGCGATTATGAGAACATAATGTCTCTATCCATCAAGAAATTGACACAGAAATGACTTAAACATGCTTTTTTTGTGTGTTTTGCTTTACGTTCAACCTGCTGTTTCTGCAGAATCATCATTTTCATATTCGTCTTGAGCGATTTGTCCATGATTCATCTAAGATGAGAATTACAATCAGACTTTATATTATTTTATTATAACATAACCTACTGCTGTTACAGAACATTTGAGGCTGTTACAAGCTTCCAAAGCATTTTTTAAACAGGAAAATGTCCTATTATGATTGGTATTTAATCATAGACTGTTTACAGTAAGTCATCTATAGAGTGTGTTTGACAAAAGAAATAGACAAAACAGTACTATTATAAAGCTACACAACTTACACCTACCGTTCCTGCAGAATTATGAAGGAAAACATTTATTAGGGATTCCAATTTTTCAGTTATGGATATACTGTGTTAAAGAGCACATGCTAACCTGAATTTGGTTGCCTTGAGATTCCATAACAAGCTGTTGAGGGATTAAATATTGAACTCCATCCTGAGAGTTGATATACTGAAGACAAAAAAGATATTGGACTGTGATTTGATTATATCTGAGAGTTTTAAAAATATTTATTTGAACCTATTTTCAGTGCTGGGTAGATTGCAAATTGTAGTCAGTTACTGATTACAAATTACATGACAAAAATTGTAGTTGGTAACATAATCCATTAGATGGATTGTTCTGTTGTTCTGCAGAATATATGTCACTTCCTGTGAAGCAAAGTGAACCATATTTATAGGACATGGGTTTTATGATGTTTCGAAATATCCCCATTATGCCAGCCACTTGATGGATGAAAAAATATGCATAAACTGCTTACCATGGTGTTGAGAGAACTGCAAGTTCCAGATTTATCTGAGTGTACAAAGAAAAGCATGGATTATGTTCAGCCATTATATTTACAAATCAAAATTAGTGGCATTGATAATCAAAATTGCAACCAACCTGTGGATTATTTCTTCCGATTCTTTAGAAAGAACACAAGCAGAGTCGCTGAGACGGCTGCAAACACCATAAGACTGAAACCAGCAAGTAGCGTGATGGATGTTCTGCAGCTGTCAAACATGTTATGTTTGTCATTAATATTAACGATTAAATTCATTAAAAAAATCTAAATTCTGTCATCATTTACTCTCCCTCATGTCAGATATTTTGAAAAAAGGTTGTTTTGTTTTTTTTGTCCATAAAATGAAAGCCAGTTGGGTTCAATGTCCTTTGGACCCCAGCATTCTTCAAAATATCTTATTTTTTGTTTCGAAGACATGGAACAACACGAGGTCCAGAGTTTTTTTGAGGGTGAACTGTCCCTTTAAGAATTTGAATTTTTAGACCTTCATAGGCTATGTGAGACATTTACCTGAGTTTCTCTACGTCGTTCTCAGAAACAATGGGTGTGGAGGGAGAAGAGGGCCAGACGGCTGGCTTGATGGAGGATTTTGGCCAGAGAGGAGCTGTGTTTACTCCACTGTAATCTTTTAAGCCTATTTGTGGAAAATACAAATATTTGTACATTTTTATAGGGTGATATCAGCTAAATTGGGCCACTTTTTGGTAAATCGTTTGGGACAATAATAAAATACCATATATGCCTTTTCCATTTGTTTTTATGATTAATAATGACTGTTTTTGATAATTTTGTGTTGAAATTATGTAATAAAATATAATTATTTAGGCCCTGCCGTTCTTAAAACATCAGCTGTGCCAACTTTTTTTGCATGAGCAGTTTCAGGTAAAATGGGCCAGCTTTTCAGGTAAAATGGGTGAGTCAAATGCAAAGGGAAATAGTACTAAAAATGTATTATCAATTTTAATTTTAAAACACAATTTCTTATACAGCCCCATAACATTTAAACTGCATTAAACAAACATATTCATATGTGCCATTAAAAAAAACATTTTGGGTGCAAAACCCACATATTCAAATGTGCATTTAAAAAAGTCCATTTTGGAACAGCATAGATCAGTGAACTCTGTCTGTGTGTGTGTGTGTGTGTGTGTGTGTGTGTGTGTGTGTGTGTGTGTGTGTGTGTGTGTGTGTGTGTGTTCATGTTTTTCTATCCTGGTGGGGACTTAAACCCGAATGCACACAGACTCATGGGGACTCGAGTCACTGTGGGGACCTAAATTGAGGTCCCCATACAAAAGCTTGTAAATGAGTTTGTTTAAAAATGCAGAAAGGTTTCTGTGATGCATAGGGTTAGTATAAGGGGATAGAATATACAGTTTGTACAGTATACAAAACATTATGCCTATGGAGAGTCCTCACAAAGATAGCGAACCAGACGTGCACGCACGCACACACACACACACACACACACACACAAACGCGCGCACACATCTTTGTGGGGACTCTTCATAGGCATAATGATTTTTATACTGTACAAACTGTATATTCTGTCCCCTTACACTAACCCTACCCCTAAACCTACCCATCACAGAAACCTTTCTGCATTTTTACATTTTCAAAAAACATCACTTAATATGATTTATACGCTGTTTTCCTCATGGGGACCAAAAAAAATTCCCCACAAGGACAAGAATTTCAGATATTGCTATCGTTGTGGGGACATTTTGTCCCCATAATGTAGGGTTTGTCAGACCACACACACTCAAACACATGTGCATGTGTGTTTGTGAGTGACACAGATGATGGCCCATTATAGCTGAAACCATGTGGCCCATTTTACCTCAGTGGGTTAAGGTAAATTGGGCCACCAAGAAAAACATCACTTTTTCAAAAAATATGTTCATATACCAAACTAACAACATTCTTTCTGATTGATGCCATCAAGATAGATATTATGCATAGTTTTTTTATGTGCATGTTTGTTTTTTTATAGATTTATCATCCTTATAATAGTTTAGTTAGATTATATGCCAGGCTACTTACCATGCAGCTTTCTGGTGTAGTCTTGATTTTAATTATTCCCCTGCCCACTATAGCAACCATAAACCAATCAAATCACTGGTTACTTGTCAAGCACAGTTATGACAACAGTTTGAAATCCTTTGCAGTCATTGGCTCTAAATTCCATAGGGGCTGGGGCCCCAAAACCTTAAATGGCCCATTTTACCTGATATCACCCTATTACAATTTTTTTTTTTAAATGTGAACTATTAACTAATATTTAAATACAACTTCCAAATGAGTATGACCAACACAAAGCCCATAAAAGACTGATCATTTGATTACAAAAATAATTATCAACCCTTAATCAATGTTTGCAAAAAAAAAAAAAAAACATTAAATTATAAAAAGAAAATCTTACCAGAAACTGTAACTTTAGCACTTTCATAGGTGTCAGGGTACCGTCTGAAACCACAGCTGTAGATGCCAGCATCCATTACACTCAGGTTTGTAATCACTACTTCAAATTCTCCATAGTAATTATTGATGAATATTCTTCCTTGATACAGGGGAGCAACTTGTCTTCTATTGTTCACAAAGGGGAAGCACCCCGACTGATCAAATTTACAGCAAGTTTTTTCAAGACTATTATAATTCGGGTTAAAGGAATATTGTAAAATAATTTGCCCTAATGAATAAATCACATGGAGTCCTTCGGCTGGATTCATTCCTGAAAAACATTTTCTGAACATTAATGTTCTCTCATTTTAAAATTGAGTTTATATGCATAATTCCATTTGTTATTGCTGCTTGAAATATTGTATTTTATTCTTGAAATGATACAAATAGATTTAAGTTATAATAATAGAATTTCATAAAAATCAATCCTTAAACGTTTTTAAATTGACCTAAATAGATTTTTTTTTTAAATCTGCTATCAAATTTAAATAGGGAATTACAATCGATGCTTTTGCTCTGTAATCTTTTAAAAAGAGCAGAAAAAAAACAAGACCCATTCTCACCGTTCTTCAAGAGCACAAGAAGAAAGAAAATCAGCTTCATTTTCCTCTAGAATAGTTCAAATGTTCTCTAAAAAGCTGGACTGACTTCGGCGAGCTCTGTAGTTCTTTTGTCAAATCGAGGAACAAACTATCTAAATAAAGACCATGACGAACAACTGACAGAAAAAGGAAGTGTGGGCTTGTTTCTCTGTTAAAATGATGTTCTTCAAATGTGTTAATCAAGCCTGTTATCAAGAGTAGTCTATATAATGTAGCTTATGTCAAAAAATAGTTTTATGACAGGATATGCCATATGTGGGGTTTCTATGACCTTTAGCCCTAGTGTGTGGTTGAAGTGTTTATGTTTGTGTGTTTATGACTGCAATCTGCTTGGTGTGACTGATAGGAATGTTTTTCAGGGGGTGATTTTTATTATTGAGGATAATATCCACAGAATGATGAAATTATGAACACAGGAGATATGTCATATGATTTTCAGATGGCGCTGCATCGTCCATAATGTCTGTTGGGGAGAATGAAACAAATGAGTTTAAAGAAATAGCATTGATGCCAAATAAAGTATATAAAATAACAGATATATGAAATAAGATGTTAATTAAGTATTTTAAAGTAAGTTAAAGTACTGGTTAAAGTCACAGCCCCTTACATTTTTCTGATCAGATTAAATGTTATAAATTAGGTTAAGAAATAAAAAGCATTGCATATAAATAATCATATAAATATCAGATAAATTAAATAAGATGTTAAATTATCCGCAATATACTGTCTTACACAGTTAAATAAAACATATAAAATAGTGAATAATAGTTAATATTATTTGAAATAAGACATTCAATTATCCACAATATACTGTCTTATCCAGTTAAATAAAACATATAAAATAGTTCATATTATTTGATATAAGATGTTAAATTATCAAGTATAATCATTTTAATCTAATACACCACAATATACTGACTTGCATAGATAATTAAAATATAAATTAGTGAATAATAGTTCATATTATTTGAAATAAGATGTTAAATTATCCACAATATACGGTCTTACACAGTTAAATAAAACATAAAATAGTGAATAATAGTCCATATTATTTTAAATAAGATGTTAAATTATCAAGTATAAGCATTTTAATCTAATACACCACAATATACGGTCTAACACAGATAAACATAACATAAAATAGTGAATAATAGTTTGTATTATTTTAAATAAGATGTTAAATTATCAAGTATAAGCATTTTAATATAATACACCACAATATGCTGTCTTACAGTTATATAAAACGTATAAAATAGTAAATAATAGTTTATACATTTTGTTTTGACTTTTTTCCTGAAGACACAGGTATAAACATCTAATTACATTGATCTTACAGCCTGGTCCGTGTGAAGTGTCAAAATGGTCACATTTTGGGGTCTCCCTGCCAGACATGAAGGCTCCAGATAAGAGATAGAAGACAGTTGTAAAACACCAGGTGACCGGGCTATCTTTTAATTGCTTGATGTTTTCTGAAACAAACTGCAAATGCTAATACAGCTACACAGAGAGGAAGGGGAGGGCCGGTGCCCCATGCCATGATGGACATAATCTTCATTTTCAATTTAGCAAACAGAGAGCAAACATCTCTTCTACTCAGAAATTCAAGGATCTGTGATTTTAACCAGCGCCAAAAAGACCTCCTAATTTCACTGTATTATAAATTTACAGTCAAACACAAAATATGCGAAAATCCCCTATTTTAGCATCAGGTTCTAAAGGGTTAATTTGTGTCTTTTAGAAAATCGCAAAGCGTTTTCAGAGACGAGATGTGTCTCTGTGGTCCATGACGCAGCATAAGTAAAGTTTGTCTTGAGTGAATATTTAATTGTACTCATCTTATGGTCTTCATATTATTGATTATTATAATTCGGGTTAAATTAATATTTTAAAATAATTTTCTCTGATGAATAAATCACATGGAGTCTTTCGGCTGGATTCATTCCTGAAAAACATTTTCTGAACATTAATGTTTTCTCATTTTAAAATTGAGAATATAGACATAATCCTACCTTTTAGAGTTGCTTCACATCTATTATTGTTATGAACTGCTCCGAGACTAGGAGGTGAAGATCCAAATGCAGCTTTATACAAGAATAGTCGCAGGGTCAAGAATCAGCAGACAGGCAGAGGCGGACAGAGTACACAGCTTCGTTACTTGAGTAAAAGTACAGATACCCCTTGCTAAATTTTACTCAAGTACAAGTAAAAGTACTACAGTCAGATGTCTACTTAAGTAAAAGTACTGAAGTACTTGTTTTTAAAAGTACTTGAGTATCAAGAGTACAAGAGTAAATTTTCTAAATATTGCATTACTACTGCCACAGTGTCAAGTCAAGTCATCTTCATTTATATAGCGCTTTTAACAATGTAGATTGTTTCAAAGCGGCTTTACAGAGATAAACATAATTTAAGGAAACAGAGACTGTTTTAGCTTTATAGCGATTCTTGAATAATGTTATTTCCAGCTAAAGTTAGTTTTGATTGATTCACTTCCGGCGAAATGATAATTTGTTATTAAATTAGGGGCCACTAAGACGACGCCGTTCTCACTAAACAGACTTTAAACTGAAACC